CTGGGGAACTGGGTCTGGAGAGAGAAGCGCCTCCTGGGCAGACAGGCCCAGGGAAGCCCCAGGAAGAGCGCACCCCCTTGGCAGTGTGGTGGGAGCAAGCCCCTGAGTGCGCCTGGCACGCCTTCCCAGCACCGGGCATGGGAGTGGCCTTCTGAGGGGAGACTCCACGGGGTCTCTGTGCAACATGTGGAACCCATTGTGGCCCTGCTCCACCACGGCTCTGGCTTCCAGTTTGCTTCCGAGGGTTGTTAAAGTGGGGACTTTAATCTGTTAAGATCAGTAGAGTTTGGGATTCTGTTAACAGAAACTGTTTTCCTCTTCCTCCAAAATTACCCGATTAAAATCACAGCGGGGAGGGTGGGTTAGTTCCCCAGGCCCAGTCCTGGGAGTTCTCCAGGGACGTCCTGGTCTTCTGTTCTCCCAGCTCTCACTGAGCCCATCTTTGCTCACCTTCCAAAGACCTTAGACTTTCTCTGTCTCAGCCGGAGGCAATCCTCTGATGGCCATTTATGCAAACTTCTGTGTGCAGCAAAGTTGTTCTTTTAGAATTTTCCTCCAGAACAATAGTTTTCCATGGTGATTTCTATACACAAGGGATTTCAGAAATTTCTGGGGGTTGCCTGGAGAACAGGGCAGGGACTGCACATTAGATATGACGTGTTTGGAGAGAAGTCCACAGCAAAAGCCCAGTGGCAAGGGTCCCCTGCACCAGGGTTTCGCCAGCTTTGGTGCACAATAGGAATACCAGGCAGTGGTGCTCAGCCGACTTTAGGCCCCATCCTTGGGGCTGTGGGGTAGCAGGTCTGGGCCGGGGCCCAAGAATCTGCATTTATAACAAGTCCCTCAGAGATGCTGATGCTGGCCTGGGCTCCTAGATGCTAAGGGCCTGCCGTTACTTTTCCACAGGATTTCTCACAAAATGATCTTAAACTGACAGCACTGAGATTATGAAGTTAAAATCAGAATCTTTATAACTCCGTCACTCAGCTCTCATGCTACTGTTCTGCCTTTGTGTCCACAAGCAAACTAATTGTGTGTGGGGTCACATACAAGTACATACATGCATACTTATGCACCCATATGTAGAAAAGTTCTTCCCCAAAAGAAAAATCTTTAGACTTTTGGTAATCACCCCTGGGAAACACTCCCCCAAGTGGAGTCAACATTTGCAATTTCTAAGACAATTCTGAGAATATTTTTACAGTCTATTCACTGTGAATAATGCTTAAATAATGCTTAAATATGCCAGTGAACTGGCAGTAAAAATCCACTGGCATAGGAGAAACTAGGCTGATCTCCAAGGACCGTTGTGAAGGGGCCCAGGCATGTGGAATACACACACCCTACCACGGCATCAGGTCGAGGAGCCATGGAGTGAGGGGCATTTGCCTTCTCTATTTTTATTTATTTTTGACATTTATAATGAAAAATAATCCCGACATGCCCAACTGGGCCCCCATGGAAGTGGACTTCCTGTCTGTGCAGGCCCAGCTCAGGGAGTCTGGGGCATCCAGCAAGAGAGCAGGGACCTCACTTATCCACATGCTCCTCTTGTCTGCAGGACTTTGGAGTCTGCTCTGGCCTCTCCTTCTCTCCTGCTCACCTGTCCCCAGGAACCCAACATGGGAAGGCCCCACAGGGCAGGGGAAGGAAGAGCTGACTGCTATATTGAACCGTATTGCACTGTTAATTGACATGTCTGCAGAACAACTTCTCTGTGCCTGGCACACATCACACTGAAGAAACTGAAACAAACCTGCTTAAATTCCTCCTTTGGCAGAAGGCAGAGGGGAAGTCAGGCTCTGGGTCCCACTCCCTCGCCTGTGCCCAGATGTTTACTCCTGAGCTCTGGAGTGACTTCAGGGTGCAGGTGAGGGTTATGCTTCAAGAGATGGTTTTTCCAGTTAGTCCAGTGCCACAGGGGAACAGGCGGGCCTCAGTCGGGGCTCCTAGGTCTGCCCAGGAGGAGCATCTGGTGCTTCGACAATCCCTGACTCTCTCCCTCAATTTTCCTCTGACTCCTGTCAGACCAGGATTTCCTTTCTGACCCTCTGAAGGAGCTCCTCGTGCCTTTCCACTGCCCATCAGACACCACGCTTCCCCGTGTGCTAGCCACCTGTAACCTCATCTGCAGCAGAAATGACAAGGACTAAAACTTAAGCACAAAAACCCACACTTGAGTTCTTGCATGGTGTCTTTTTGTCGGGGACTTCCGGGGGCCTTAATCAGAGACTGTAGCTCTGATGCGCCTGTGATTTGCATACTCAAGATCCTCGGCTCTGTGTGCACCTAGACATGAGTACTGAGGCCTTGGGCGTGGCATTAGGGTTCCCGCCCTTGGGTGTCAGACGTGGCTGGCTACACCATTCTCCCTTCCTCTCCTCCCTTACACTGGTCTTCCTGGTCCCTGGCTTGGGGACAGCATGGAGGCTCACACCCTCCATGATGGTATGAGCCAATCTGTCAGTAGAACACATATAAACACATATCTGATACATGTACACGTGGCTATATATGTGGTCACATCTCAGCTTGTGGTTAAACTTCTCTGGAGAATCCTGACTAATATGCCATATAAACAATAAAAGACATATAATGAATTTAAATTATTTCTTTCTCTGTTTTCAAATGTCTTTTCTGAGGAGACAAAATTGTGTGTAGACAGCCACGTGTCCAGTGGCATTTGGCTTCTCCACGACCTGTTTTTACCCCATGTGTGGATAATCGTGCTGTCCGATGAGTCCCACTTGGTGGAGTGGGGTCTCCTTAGTCATCTGGCTGAACATTTAGAGAAACTGGGGTTTTATTTCTCTGCCCAACAGCACATCTGTGAAGCAATTTCTCATCATTGCATATGGCCACTTTGTCAGAGAGAAAAATCGCATAGTCCATGGAAATGTGAGATGAATGCTGGCCAGTTTTCTAAGATGACCCATAGTAATAGATAAGAGGAGAAGGCTATAAAATTCAAAGTACAAAATAAGAAATTCAGAAAGAAGGATCCATTAGCTGTGTCGAGATGAATGCTGGCCATGGAAGGAGGTGAGTTTAATGAGCAATGTGCTCAGCAACTACTTTTATCTTTCTATAGAAATCAGCTTTGGCCTGTTCCTTGAAAATCACTTAAAATCTCCATATTTTGCCAAAGTACTTGAAAGAGGGCTATTCATTCTTAAAGACTATGATTTTATCAAAGAATCTCTAATTTTCAATAATTCTAACTACAGAATGAATTCCAGCTGTTGCCCAAAGCGCTATCCTTCTAAGCAAAACCACGCGGGGCAGTGGAGATGGTTCCACAAATAGTCGTGTGCGTCCTAGGGCAAGGGGCACTGCCTCTCTCTGAGTGCTGGATGCACCGACGGAGCGCAGCGCAGGAGCCTTAGAGAGTCTCAGAATCAGAAGAGGAAGGACCTCTCTGAGAAACTAGCATAAGATCCTGCGAGGTGTTCAGATTCTGAAGGTTCCTGTGTTCTTAGGTGACAGCTTCTCCAGACACGATGGCTCTCCTCACAGGACCAGAGCATAGAGGATGGTGACAAGGGTCACTTATAGATGGCTGTGACATCGTCCCCTGTCTGATCAGAAGCAGACACTATGCTTAACAAGGAACTGACCAAGTGCCTGACTTCCCCAACAGCATCAACCTATCAAAAATGGCAAAGGGATATTGAATTAGTCTGTTTTCTCAGTGTTTCAACGGCATACCCGAGGCAGAATACTTTATAGAGAAAAGCAGTTTCTTTGGCTCGCAGTTTGGGAGGCTGGAAGTTCAAACAGCATGGTGTTGGCTCTTGTGTGGGCCCTTGGCTGCCAAACAGCACGCAGCCAGCGCCCAGCCAGCGCCCAGCCGGAGCTGCTTTGCTCCTCTTTTCCTTAGGTGGACAAATGGCGGCTCCCTGGGGCCATCGCCTATGCAGGGCTTCCTTGTGCTTCTCTCTGCTGCTGAAGAGCTACCTGCTTGCTGTCTTTCTGCACAGAAAGGACCCACATTTCTGCATAGAAAGCTCCTGGTGTCTAGGCTCTGGGCTTTAAGATTGGAATATTTTCTGTTTGGTTTAAAATGGGAAGAATTAACATACATCAAGTGTTAGCTTTTCAGATTAGTGTGGTTTCCTTTATCTTTTGGTTTTCCCTCTATCTCATGTATTTAGAGTGACTATTGTGAATATATGAATACAAATTTTGATTTTTCTTTATTCACGCCATTCTCTCATATTGAAACACAGTCTTGTCTAATTTCTTGACTACTAAACCTGAGAATGCACCAAGCCAAGATCCATTTGTTCAGGTGGAAACGTGTCTCTTATAAATGTCAGAGCCTGTGTTTTATTCTAAATTTGCAAATATTTACAAATTTACTCCCACCCTTCCTCAGGGCACATTGGCTCTTTAAAAAAAAACTGTTTCAGTGGAATTGATTTTATCAGGGAAAGCACGGGCTTAACGTTTGTATGTTGTTAAGACAGCAAAGCCATCGGTTGTCACGTGAAGATCTTTTTGACATGTCCTTTCATAGCATCCTCACTTCAACTTTTATCAGATTCATATGATTCCTGGGTGGATTTGAGTCTATGACTTGAAAGCAAGTTTTCTTCCAGTAAATTGAAGTCTAACACGAGGTCGACTTACAAGAAAAACTCTCCATCACTGTGTTTTCCATGCTCAATTCTGCTTCTTGTCACAGACATACCTAATAATCACAGTCACTTACATTTGAATGATATTTGAGTAACGACATTATCCTTAAAAACATCTTACAATGCACCAGATGACGTCCTCATGGCTCCACACTGAGGCAGGCAAAGAGACATGACGGCTGGGGCTTACCAGTGACAGGGCCATCTTCCCTTCTCTGTCACTTGGAATGATTGATTGCTCAGTGGGATAAGCCCTGGTTTACTTACTGGGACCTGATGAGGACCCAGTCAGGGTGACCCAGGGCCTGATGCACGGGGCACCAATGTCCCCACCTCCAGGAGCCGCCAGAGGAAACCTACCCCCTCCACAGGAGACGGAGCACTCAGACCGCACGATGGCCCATGTGTAGCTGGGCTGAGCGATGGGTTTCTTCTCAGCTCCCAACCGGGGCACTGAGTATTCCCAGGAAATGCCTGGGTTTCTTCCCTGGAACAGGAGCTACGAAAGAAGAACGAGGAAAATAAAATTAATTAAAGGGAAATGAATAGCTACACACTGATTAGTTGCTTTAAACCACTTAAAACATGGATGGAATCAACGAGAAGTTGGATAGAATGGTAAAACAGACCCATCCTTTGAAATGAACATGAGTTTCCTAACAGGGATAAGACTCAAGTAGACTCAAACACAACTAGGAAAATTAAACATTCCACTCTGCTGCCTGTGTCACGTATTACTCTGTACAAATTTTCAAGTGTCTGCAGGACATCGAGGGCATGTCCCTTGATGCTTCTTTGGGATTCCCTGTGGGTCCTCTTCATTGCAGTGAGCCAGAAAATGATACTGAAAAAGGAGTCTCACTTCCTCCAGGGTCGGAGATGACCAGGACACTGAGGTAAAGATGGCCAGGCCCACGCCTGGACAGTCAGGTGGAAGCACTCCCTGCCCCGCGAAGCTCAGGGACTTCTACGTGCTGGCAAGGGCCCTTTAGTCCAGGAGGGACAGGTTTCATTAGCAAAGCAGCTTACTCAGGCCCAGTGAGTGGTGCCTGGTGATGGAATTGGATCTGGATCGTGCACTTCCTACCTGAGACCTAATCGTAGCCCTCAACATAGACCAGACCCTTGCATCTCAGTAAGCAGAGATGTTGGAAACCTCATCTTTCATTTGCTGACACAAATTCTACATTTTTGCTCCCCTTGACATTAAATGTGGATAGAGACCCTTGCCCCTGCCTCACTGCCCTGGAGTCTCTTTCTCTCCCTGAGGACACAGCAGGGGTCCTAGCTGGTGCAGGTGTATGGGACAGGAGCAAGCTGCAGCAGGTGGTCACGTTGAACGAGCGACAGAGATGCTCTCCAGACCCTCTTCCATGGAGAGCAGCTTCCTGAGAACCCCATTTTTTTCCACCTTGAATTATCTGTCTTTTGTGGAGGTCATTAAAGTTAAAAGCTTAAATGATGGGAGAGAAAGAGCAAGCAAAGAATCCAGGATGAGGACCTGTACAGTGGGCAGAAGGCTGGGGGCTGGGGAGATGGAGGTGGCCTGTGGAGACGCAGTAGCACCCTGGGCCATGCCCAGACCTCCTGGGGAAGCATCTCCCAGGCTGACACAGAGGAGGGGATGGGGCTGCCAGGCCAGAGAGTGGGTAGGGGCATCTGGTTAGCAGCCACCTCCACGGTGAGGTGTGGGTTCACAGGCAACTTCTGAACCCAGAGCTCTTCCTGAACTTCACAGAAACGTGAAACAGGCGGAATCTAGTACATCCACAGTGTGTGCTGCCCTCTGCCTGGGCCTCTGGGGTACATTTGGTTGCCAGAAGAAGCCTGACAGTATCAAGTGACTACACGCTCATGGCGGAAAAGGCAAGGGCTTGGTCAGGAGGAGACCCACATGCACACCAGGCCAGTGCGACAGCCCAGGTGTGGCCAGTGAGGGTCAATGCTGTGACACTGGAGGTCACATAGCACATGGCAGCAGAAGGCTGATGTCTCCAAACATAGGCATCGAAAGCTCCCCACTCCCAGAATGGGCTCTTCTCACAGCCATTGAGTATACAGGAGAGAAGTGGAGATTTATAAAAATCAACGGATAAAGACCAAAGATGGAATCGTGTGTTCCCCTCATCACACACCAAGAAAAGACAGGAGGCAAAAGCCAGTCTACAGCCCCTGCAGCTGCACATGAATCACTCTTAACTGCACATTCTGCCCCATAGTTACAAGTAGGCCAACTGCTGTGACCTATGAACACACCCAGTGACCACCAAGCCCGAGCCCCCAAACCACCAGGCTGCTCTACCTCCACCATCAGCGTTTCGTTGGTTGGTCCGGCAGCGGTCAGGCTCTCGGGCTCCTTGTAGGACCGCCTGTAGCGGAAGGTAGTGCCTGCAAATTCGTATCGTCCGGGCCAGTCCACAGTCCAGTGTCCGTTCAGGTAGTACCTCTTGAGGGCGTTGCGCACACAGATGTAGGAGGTGGATGTGTTCATTTCATAGATGCGAATGCTCCGGGCTCCAGGAGGAAGGGTGACCACGTGGTAATACTCTGCATGACCAAAGAGGACAGGGCATCTGACTAGTGCAGCTTCTCCACAGACTTCAGAACCCACTAGGACCCGTAGAAGATCTGTGTCAGCCATCAAATGGAACTCGATTTGGAAATTGATACACAATGTTTTCATGGAGTGAGCAGGGCTCCTGTGATTTTCACCCTCCTAAGAACCCTACTTAAACTCAAGTAGACTAGCAACCACTTCTCATCAACACCAAAGGCTTGAGAAGCAAGCTGTTGGCACTCTGAGCGCCTGCTGTTTTCACTCTGCCTCCCTCCTCCCCCCGGGAGCTCCTCCAATCCCCCTTGCTGGAGACCTGCAAGCAGCGCTGGGACACTCACGGTTGGTGTGGTGGTGTGTGGTGTAGACGCCTCTGTGGGTCGTGCAGTCTGAGTTATTTCCCTTGCACACCCCGCAGGAGTCCTCAGCAGCATCAGATCCAAGGATGTTGTCACAGCCCACTCTCTGGAGGACCCACCAGGTCACATGTCATTCATGAAAGAAAGGATGATACAAGCAATACCATCATTAGTCTCATGCAAGCAACCTCTTCGCCAGCGTAGGTGAAAATCTCACCAACACTGGGTAGTTAACAAATATTTGTTGGATACCCAATATGTGCACAGCGAGAGAGACTATGGCTCTACTCTTGAGAAACCTTAAGTTGTGAAACGCTACAGTGCTGCTCCCCAGCAGGAGTACCTTGAGCCCAAATCAGACCTTGGGTGTTCATGTTGGAAACGTGGGTGAGTTTCAGACCCATAAAGACCTTGGCACAATGACAAACAATGGTCCACGTGAGCTCCACTGGAATGCACCCGTGTGCTTCTGAGCTGCCAGGTGCCGTGGCAGAAATGACAGCTGCCACGAGGAAATTCTCCCCTGTGATCGATTAGAAAGGGTGTATGTGTGCAGTGCCTTGGAATTTCAGGAGCTCTACTTTCTATGATGCTTATTTCTTTTATCCTACCAAGGAAAATAGGATCTACATGTTTTTAAAAATCCAAATAACTATAGCCCACAATTGCTTGAAATCCCTGGGGTCAGATTTCAGAACTCAGAGTGTGAACTTTGGAAAGGTGAAGGGTGCCACACCTGAGATGCACATGGGAGACCCAGCAAGGCCTGGGGAGCACCCCACACCTAACACATTAATGTCTCCACCACAAAGTCATTACACTGAGTGGGATAAAAACGGAAAATTGACATTCACACGTTAGTTCAGGGCAGATTTTGCCACCAAACAAGTACAGGTCCTAAAGCCCTTTCACGGTTCTTTGGATTTCAGCTTTCTAGCTTTTTAGATGTCAGAGTTACAAGCAAAGGATTGTGACACTATAGGTATTTCATGTTTAAGTTTGCTTAATAAGTAATTAAAATAATGTCATATTGAACAAATCAACTAATAATTAGACAAAATTGAGCATTTTGCAGAAGAAAGAGGTTCCTGGAACACCCCACCTGCTTTTCCTGCCTCTGGAAGGATTTCCCCAAGGACCTCCGTGGGGGACCTGCACAGCCCGGAGTGAGGCTTGGACTCCACAGGATATGCATACCAAATGACCTCCATCGGTGCTAGATGGGGTCTGGCCAGCAGCACTTCCACTTTATTGGTAACAGAATCCTTTCCACCCTTATCTCTGTGAATGACAAGTCCCCCACTAGCTGTTCCCCTGGCTGCCACCTCCTCCCGCCTGTCTCCCCCTTCCCTTTCCTTCTGCCCTCCCCTGCGGAGCCTGGGTTGCTGCACCTTGAAGAAACCACTGTCCTGCAGGAGCTGCTGCACGGCCCCAACTTCCCTGCTGTCCACGTCCCCACTGACTGTCCCACTACTGCCCAGACCTGCCACCTCTTCCTACAGCTCCACTGTCCCCAATCCGCCTCAGCCAGGCTTGAGGATGGAAATGCCAATCTTCATCCTGGCAGGCAGTTCCCTGGAGAAACATTGCTCCCTGTCCCCTTCCTCAGTGTCCCCCCAGCCCTGACGACTACACCAGCTCCCGTCCACCCCGGCTTTCTGACATTACCTGGCAGCCCACTCAGCGACCCTCTACCACTCTCCTCTCAGACCTGGCTGGGATGCGGATGCCCCCTCCTCCTGGCCCCCCGGATGTCTCAGACAGACCCACATCTAAGAAGGGAAGGCTCCCCCTCTCCAGCTCTGCTCACTCCTCCGTGATCACTGGCTGTGACTGGGAGGGAGGGGCTCCTCTTCCAGGGCCTCTCTAGCCCCCAGCATGCCTGCCTCAAAGCGGACTGTCTGGAGACATTTGTTGAATGAATAAGCAATCATCATTACCTCACATATCCCATCTACACAAACATTACGGCTATCCTCCGAGCATGGAGTCCCATCTTTCACTTTATTTGACAAAGAAAAGAAGAAATCAAATCCTTCTGCGATACAGTAGAGTTTGCATAAGTCCTGATCTTAAAAAGAAATACACACACAAACACAAATAAGAGAGATACTTAAGCTCGGATCATTTTGCTCTGAATTTCAGATAGATCTCGATTTCCCCTTAAAATACCTCCCACAGTGACACATGGCAATAACATTTTCCCAGGGTGGCCTCCTTGGCCTTTACTTTTTCTTTACACTTTTTGGGGTTATTTCTAGGCTTCACTATTCTCTTTCACTCCAGGGTTCCCTACTGCCCCTGTTCTTTACACAGTGGTTGGCACATAGTAGGCATTCAATAAATATTTGTTGACTTAACTCTGACATTATGTTTCGCCACACAACTCTCTACTCTTTCAGGAGTGCACAAAGGCCACTGCCATGTGTAGCATGTGCAAAACTCTTACAAATAAAATGTAATAAAATAATTAAGAGAGCCATCAAACTTCTTAACACACTTGATGAAATATATACAGTTTTTAAACATAAAAGGGATCACTTTTAATAGAATTCTCCAGAAAGCAACAATTTCTACAAAGGTAATGGGTTCTCAAGAATAGTGACTGGTGTATAGAGAATATAGGAAGTTCACGTCTGGCCCCAGGAATCCACTTCAAGGTCTTGTGGCTGATCTAGTTAACATGGCTTTTGTAAAAGCCTTTATCTCTGTGTTCTCTTTCTGATAAGGAAGGAACAGTTGGGGATGAAAGCTGTCCACCTTGGCAATTTCCATAGGCCCAAGACTCATCCACAGGTCATTTCCCTCCTGATCAGGGTAAGTGGCCCCACAGAATGATTTCAAGAATCAAATTTAGTGTGTGCTTCCAGCGGTGACTAATTTATGACTTGGTATGTGCTTCCATGAGTAACTGATTTATTCACTGAAGGCTAGCAAAATCACGAGTAGCACACACATTTCTGACCCCTATTTCAAAGTTCATTCCTCTGGTCTCTCCTGACCTTGGCTGGCTCCTCCTCCTGCCTGGCCTCATTCGTGCAGGGTGTGGGGAAGAGCACAACCAAAGGTGTCATGTAGGAGTGGCCTGCCATCTCCCACCCTGCATTTACTGCCCCCGTGCACTGCCTCCCAGTCACAATGAATCAATGACTGGGAACCCCAGGTGGGATATCCCAATGCATGTGTTTCCCAGGGTCTCCGTGTCTGTCTGGACAGTGTTCCCATTTCAAAGAATGAGGTGACTAACTGTGCTTTAGGTTTCTCCCAACTACGCCACTTGAGCTACACTTCCTGAATATAGTATATTTGAAAATTATCTAATGTTCTAAAATCTCCTACAGTTTTTCTTCCATTCTTTAATAATTCTAAATATTCAATGGGTTATATGTTTCTAATAACATTGCCATCAAATACTGGGACTCATATTTTTTGAAATTGATTCATTTTTAATATACCATCAGCTTTGAATTTCTTATTATTTCTTTAACAAATTTCCTTGCATTATGCCCCTGCTCTCTGTCTGGCCTATGGATTGCTGACCACACAGCTAGCCACATGTGGATGAGATGCCAAGGTGGTGGGACAGGCCAAACTACACCAGCCCTCATTAGAGTGAGCAGCGGAGCCGACCCCACAGGGCGGTGTTAACGTAGTAGTTTGGCAACCGCGCTGCCAGTCACACAATTGGAAAGCAAAGGTCACAAAGCCAGGGCTGTGCCCAAGGGCGGGCTCGGGCTTACCTGCCACCTGGGTGTAAGGCTTCCACTTGTAGTGCCAGCCCCGGAAGCGCTGGCTGTTGTACGCAGCACACTGGGCGGCGCGGAAGTCCACGCTGTCCTGGGGACATGGCTGACTGTTGCAGAGCTTCACGGTGCGGGTCGGGCCCTCACAAAACTTCCCTCCGTGCGATGGTCTGGAATGTGAAGCCCCCAGTTAGGAACCTCCCATTTGAGAAGCTGCTCCACGTCCAGTCCCCCGGGGGGAGCCGCTCGGGAGGGGCGGCTTTCCCAGGGCCAGCCTCTCTGTGACAAGGCAGCATGCAGGGCCCGGTGAAGGGCACCACCGGCCCCGGGGCAGGTGCGAGCAACCTGGGAGCCAGGGCCTGGGAGGACAGTGGACAGGTCATACCCGCCTCAGGCTTCGCGGACAGGAGGAGCAGAAGAGTACGGCCACTGGGGTCTTCAACCAGGAGCAAGAGGAGGATTTGAAACTATCCCATGTGGGAAGTGCCTCTCTCTGCCTATCTTCTACCCAAGTCCATGGTTAAATCTCTTGTGGTAAAGGTGAAGGCATTTGATGGAAAACCAATATTTTTTGTTTGTTTTATCTTTTTGCATGGAAGAGTTGTTCTTAGGGCTTCTTATTCCCTCGGGTTCTACATATTTCTCTTACAATTTAGCTGTTTAAGCAGACCCTTAGCATTTCAAGTACCCGTGGTTAAATCCCAATTTCTGAGTCTGTTGCTTTTTGCTAGGGTCAGGGAGTTATCGGCATCTGACATTGTCTCAGAGATACTCATTTAAGCAATTCTTGAGTAAAATGTTTTTTTGTGCTCAGTGTCTTGTACAACGTTATGCAAAGTACATAGTCACTGGCAGGCTGTTGGGAGGGCCCATGGAGCGAGGGACGTACCTGGGATTGGTGCAGAGGCGGTCTCTGTGAGACACTCCTCCCCCGCAGGTCCTGGAGCAGGGGGACCAGGAAGACCAGTCCGACCAATGTCCATGGGTGGGCCTGGGGCCTTCGTCACCATACTTCACACACTGTCCTCCTCGGCACCACTAAACATTTTTAAAATACATAAATAAATAATTCGTGTGAGTCACGGGTGAGCAAGTGGATCGTCCCACCGCTATGTATTGGCAAATTGCGTATTTGTAAAATGCGCACACGCTAACATCCCCACTCGCAAGTGGACGCTCAGAACAACAGTGCTGCTGCTTCTCCCTCTCATCCCCAGGGAGAGCACACCCCGGGAAGACACGGAGAAGACCAACTTAAGAGGGAGTTGTGCTCTGTGGACATTCAGTGCACCTATTCATCTTCTGAGGCACTCAACTCTGACCTCTCCTGCAACAGGTGCTTTTCATAGCTCCTGCTCAGAAGAGTCAGTCTCAGGTGCAAAGTGCAGCTGGAGGCCCCAGGGGCTCAGCACCTTGTCACTCCTGTGACACTCTGTGCTGTGACTGCAATGCACCTGGGCCTGGAACCTCAGGCTTGTTCACGAGGGCATGTTAGAGGTCATCCAGCTTTCCACAGAGATGACACGATTCCTGTGGAACCCCACCTGTCCCCACTTGGGCCAGAGATTCCAGCTGCTCCTTCCCAAGAGAAGTGCTCATGGTTTTCAGTTCACATTGAAATCGACGAGATGACATTGCCTCTGTGGAGCAGCGAGGCCACACCCCTCCTGACCCCGAGTTCAGCAGCACTGTCCCCATGGAGGAGGGAAGGAAGACGGCTGTGCCTGGCCCTGGGCTGCATGGAGCCAGCAGAGCCAGAGGGCAGGGGAGGCGCAGTCACTGCAAGATTAATATCACAGGTAGCAAAGTCACTCCAAGATTAGAGCCTGCAGCTCCAGACTGAGAGAAGAGTGCTCCTTCTGTAAGAGGAAGATAACACCACTCCATCACTGATTCATGCACCAGGTTAAAACTCAGCACGCCAGTGGTATCAGAGCATCCGTGACACAGGAGTGGCAAGTTCAAGTGGTTCCATTTAAAATTACTTCAAAGATAAAAACTAATCTTAAACCCGTAATTAATTTTGAAAGCTTTAACCGTCTGACTATTTGATTTTTCTATATAAGTAAAAAACAAAAACAAAACCTCTGTCTCCCATCAGTGCTTGTCCACATCCCAGGTGGCAGAACAAACCCTGCCAGTTCCTCAGCTCAGTGACAATCCTGCAGCTGGGCACTGGGCACTTTGTGAGTCGGGAAGAGAGATGGAGAGGAGAGAAGGGAGAGGAGAGGAGCGGAGGGGAGGGGAGGGGAGGGGAGTGAGGCCCTGGAAGGAGGAGGAGACAGCAGTGTCCTGTGTGTCTGTTGCTATTAGTGCTTATCTTTTTTTTTTTTTTTTTTAAATCACCTGGTTGTAGGTTTCTAATAAAAAAGACAGCAATTATGAAGAGAAAAATCAACAACTTGAGTCAGTTGAAAAATGTTTTCAGAAACATCGGTCCAGTCTGAAGGTGCAGAGAGGACTGGCGCTCCTGAAGGAAGGCAGGCCGGTGGAACCAGGGCCCCCCTCGAACGCGAAGATCCATTGCACAAGCCGCAGCAAGGCTTTCGCCAGGTGCCTCTGGGCAGCCTTGCTGGGTGGTGCCCACTGCTGTCGATGTGATGTTGCTACCTGGCCACGTCCACAGGAGTGATGGGTAGTTACAATGTAGTGGATATAACCACCTTCCCCCCCACCCAAATAAACCCCCTAGCCTTTTTTTTGTACTAGGGGTTGGGGTTTTTGTTTTTAAGATACACATGACAGTAGGGTGTATTTTGACATATTATAAATACATGGAGTGCAACCCGTTCCAATTAGGATCCTGCTCTTGTGGTTGTACATGATGTGGACTTATACTGGTCATGTATTCATAGATGAGCGTAGGAAAGTGATGTCTCGTTCATTCCCCTTTGTCTAATCCAATGAACTTCTATGCTTCTGCTCCCTACCCTCCCTTGTTATGAGTTAGCATCCACATATCACAGAGAATATTTGGTCTTTGGTTTGGGGGGACTGGCTTATTTAACTTAGCATGATAGTCTCCAGTTCTATCCATTTACTGGCAAATGTTGTAATTTCATTCTTCTTTATACCTGAGTGATATTCCATTGTGTATCTATACCATTGTGTATCTTCACCCATGCATCTGTTGAAGAGCACCTAGATTGGTTCCACAGCTTAGCTATTGTGCACTGAATGCTATAAACATTGATGTAGCTGTGTCACTGTAGTATGCTGATTTGAAGTCCTTTGGGCATAGGTCGAGGAGCGGGATAACTGGGTCAAATGGTGGTTCCATTCCAAGTTTTCCAAGGTCTCTCCATACTGCTTTCCAGAGTGGTTGTGCTAATTTGCAGTTTCATCATTTGACTTGCTTCTAGGCACTTATTGTAAAATATACTCTTATCTGTTAAATGATACATGAAGCTATTCATTGCAATTTTTTTTAATAATAAAAGGTTGGAAACAACCTAAATGTCCATCAGGGCTTAGTTTAACTATAATAACATTCATATAAGGAATCACTTTTCAGCTTAAAATAGAACAAGAGTGCTTTTTATGTATACATATAGAATGATACATATATTACATATTTATATATATATAAATATATATGCAACATTTATTGTTACTTGTACTCTTTTTTAAAAATATTTATTTCTTAGTTTTAGGTGGACACAACATCTTTATTTTTTCATTTTTACGTGGTGCTGAGAATCGAACCCAGTGCTTCACGCATTCTAGGCGAGTAGGCTACCACTTGAGCCACATCCCCAGCCCATTACTTGTACTCTTGATAATTGCCATTCTGACAGGAATGAGATGGAATCTCAATGTGGTTTTGATTTTCATTTCTCTAATTGCTAGAGATGTTGAATATTTTTTAAAAATATTTTTGCGAGGGTACCAGGGATTGAACCTAGGGGCACTCAATCACTGAGCCACATTCCCAGCTCTATTTTGTATTTTATTTAGAGACAGAGTCTCACTGAATTGCTTAGTGCCTTGCTTTTGCTGAGGATGGCTTTGAACTCATGATCCTCCTGCCTCCGCCTCCAGAGCCACTAGGATCACAGGCACGTGCCACCACACCCGGCTCATATTTTTTTGACCATTTGTATATCTTCTATGAAGTCCCTGTTCAGTCCCTTTGCCCATGTATTGACTGGGTTACTTAAAACCCTGACTTTGTAAAAAGGAAAGTTTCAAGGACCTCACAAGCACAGTACACGGCACGGACCCCCGGGTACCGGCATCCAGCTCAGCACGTATGCACTCAGGGGCAGTCCTGTCTAATCTGAACACTGTCCACATTTTCCTCCCTAAAAACTGACCCCCAGACTTTGTACCACTTCTTTAAAAGTATTTCATTACATGTCTTAAAAATCAAAGACTTTAAAAAATGTGGACACATTGTAAAGAAACTTACAGCAATCACTTAGTGTCATCAAATATTCAGTCGGCGCTCACTCTTGCATTCATACCTGTGTTCTTCACTGACGTGAAAGAACTGCAATGAAGCAGACCCCTCCAGGGCACGGGCACAGGTGCCCTGCCTCGCCACGTGTCCTCCCTCCATCCTCTCTCCTGCCTCCATCCACCTGTCTCCTGCGTTAGGATCTTGCTGGCTGCATCTTCAGGAGGCCTCCATCTCCAGGGTACCACCAAACACGATCCTTTGTCCCCTGGGCTTGCTGCATTGAGACAGCTGCGCCTAGGGGGTTGCCCAGGGTGTAGACTCACACACAGAGGGCTGTACGTGCGTGTGCATAGGTCGAGGAGTGGGATAACTGGGTCAATGCCTGGAACCCAGTGTCGAGGTGCCTCAGTGTCTCAGGGGGCCTGGGGCTGCCTGCTGACTACGAAGGTCCCCAGCATCTTCCCATGTGTGAGTCTAACAGCCATTTTACTAGTTGGATCAGACATTAAGACAAAATATCCTTCATCAGTTTGATGCTTGGCCCCTGAGGCTGAGTTCACACAGGAAAACAGGATGCTCTCTCTCTGTGTGATTGGAGATGGCTCCACTCCACATTTCTCTTGGCAAAGCTGCCCCCCAGCCCTTCAGCAGGACCCAGAGTCTGGGAGGCTACCAGGTCCACTCACGAGGTGTGCCAGCCTTGCCTCGCACGTTGCTTGTTCTAGAACTGGAATCACCCCTGACACAAGAAGATCCTTGTTTCTTTTATTAATAAAACTGGATTAAGAAGCTACAATCCATTTGAAGGGTGGCCATTACAGCGAGTTGGTCAATAGAGTTTGTGTATATGTGTGAATTTTTAAATTTTAATTTAAAAGAAAAAAATGCTTCATGAATTCAGGGCAATTTATCCTATTCAAATTTAAGGGTTACACATGTTTCTCATTTCTTTGATTTTGTACCTGTATCTTTTTCCTCTCACACATGAGAAGTCTGGGTCTTAAGGAGACAGCACTGACCATTTCCTCTGTCTTCCATAGTTTTAGAAGAACAAAGCCAATGGCTGCTGAAGAGTTTAAAATTCTTTGTGGTAGTCTTTTTTCCCATTGTGTATATCCCACTGGAGACGTAAGGTCAAATTACTGGGTTTAAAGGTCATTCGGGCTCATTCCTCTATTATGGTCATGGTAAAGCCACCCACTAGAATTATCATCAGTTTACATCTTTTCATTTCACTTTTGTTTGTTAGGGGTTATCTTAACAAATTTCAAAATCACCTAGAATGTTTCAAGCTTTTCAACGTATGGGTTTATCCTTTTATTTTAAAATATAAGTTAATGATTATATAGAATAGTTTTTTTTTTCTCTCTTTCTCATTCGCTCGGTCTTTGATAATGACAGCATGCTACATAAAGCTTTTCTGCCCTGCTTCTGCATTTGAGAAAGTGTTCTGCAGATCATTCCACAGAAGGACGCAGTCATCTTACCACTCTTTTCAAAGCTACGTAATTCCCCGTCATGTTTGTTTCGAGAAAATTCCCTCCTGATGGACATCTGTATATTTCCAGGCTTTTGCTATGATAACTAGAGCTGCAGTTCATTTTTCTGAAAATGCATCTTTTCCTATTCCTGTCAGACATCCTTAAATGACTATTCTAGTTTTAAAAATTGTCTTTTAAAAACCCTTTTAGAGAATCTGACAAGAAAACATCATCCCATGGGGTTGGGAGAGGATGCTCAGGTACAGGCGCTCCACAGTTGTGAGTACTGCTCACCTGTCATGATTACCTGCTACCTAGCACTCAGGTCAATTACCCCGTGTCCGGGCAATCAGAATTCCAAGACTGCAGGATCCCATCAGAGCCATATTCTTTCAAGAAACAAGAACAATTTTTATGACACGGTTTTTACTAGGGATTCATTGAGCTGCCGATGTCACTAGGTGAACTTAGCTCCAGATCTCACCCCTGTGAGGGTGCTGGCCCTGGTCCAGGGAGCTAGCCTCTTTCTCTGTGCCTCCTCAGTCACTCTCAAGGCTTAGCACCCTTCTCCAACAATCTAAAACCTCCCTGTCTGCAGCCACATTTAAACACGCTTAGGATGTGCTGTAGCTTGGAATTTAAGCCCAACAGATCAGTGATACATTTAGGCAACATTTCTCTTTCATATCCGTTAGTAACACTAAAAAGACCACAAACATAAAACATGAAAATGTCTGCAGTAAAAAATTGATTTTCATATATTTCTATCTTCATCAATAATTTTTACATTCTAAAAAGGCAACCAGGTTAAATCAAAAACATTAAAATATTATTCTTACTTGCTAACTTATTATTTTAATTTATTTTGTTTTATTATTTTTTTGTGGTACCGGGGGTCAAACCCAGAGCCTCCACGTTCTGGTCCAGCTCTCTACCATCGAGCCACAGCCCAGCACAACCAGTTTACTCTTAAAATTTAATGACATACTTGTCCCTGCTTGCCACTAGGTAATAGACTTGCTATCTTATTTGTTTCTTCTTTTTACTGAATCAAAGCTCTGCATCTTTACCCACAGCCAGCAACAGGTCAAAATGCTTTACTGCAAGTTCTGCAGACTGAAGCTCAGAGGCTTAGACAACACAGATGCTGGCTCTTTGCTGTCTAAGTGGGGTCAGTGGTTAATGTTTCCCTTATTAAATGGACTCAGTCACCAGGTCTTGCCTGACTTCTCTGTTAATTTTGGAAAGCTCATCAATAATATTCCCACAAAAGTGAGAAATATCGATATAATAAACCACAGCTCTTGGTAGGGGTGCAGGCAGACACAGGGGTATCAGGAACGCTGGGTTAGAACAGGCAAATGAAACAGGAGGAGAGTTGTGTGCGTTGGGGAAGTGAGAGCTGTGCACGTTGTCCCGCCAACCGCAGCTTCTTACCATGTCCTGCCCGCACAGGGTGCCCTCTGCCGCCGGCATGAACTTCGTCTCACATTTCCTTCCTATGCGATGGCACCACAGGGCTTTACAGATGTCCTAAACAGAATAAACGAGGTCATCAGTGTGGCCAATGGTCCATACACTTGCGATAAAATGTCAGTGAAAAGTCTACAGGAAAAACAACATTCTCGATTAAAAACGGATGTGTATCCTGCAGCAGAGCACGTGGTGGACGAGGCGTCCGAACCTGTGTTTGGAATTTCTTCTTCAGAATTCCATCTCTGAATCTGTGTTTATTTGGATTTACCCAGTATAAATTTAACAACATTATATTCTCCAAGTTAAAAGGAAAAAATATGCTTGAACCAAATATTGTAGAAAACTACAAGACAATTACAATTTTTTAAAAAAGCCAACAAAACAATTTATGATTTATTCTTTTCCACTTCAATTTCCACTAACCTCTTGAAATTGGGATTATAATTTTTAAATTAAAGATGATTAGGAAACTTGTTGATCCATCCTTCCTTCTATCATCCATACATTCACACCCATCCATCACCCATCCATCATCCACCCATCACCCTTCCATCACCCATCCATCATCCACCCATCACCCACCCATCACCCTTCCATCACCCATCCATCATCCACCCATCATTCACCCATCCATCATCCACCCATCACCCACCCATCACCCTTCCATCACCCATCCATCATCCACCCATCATCCACCCATCACCCTTCCATCACCCACCCACCATCCACCCATCATCCACCCACCATCCACCCACCATCCACCCACCATCCACCCATCACCCTTCCATCACCCACCCACCATCCACCCACCATCCACCCACCATCCACCCACCATCCACCCATCCATCCCTCCAACATCCCCAAAGCTTTGGTGAAAACTTTAAATACGTGAAGCATCTCACTAGACACAAGGTTCTGTAATGAACAGGACCCAGACTCACAGTCTTGAACTTGGTCTCAAAGGAGTGAAGAGAACCTACTGCACAGGGAGGGAGAGGTGCCTCAACTGGGGAGGGACAGGAAGTAGGCTGAGCCTGCAGAGCCGCAGAAGGCTTGCCTGGAGGACTCCAGGAGTCTCTGAACAGCCGCCCTTCTTCATTGTCCCTTGGTGCTGGGGATCAAACCCACGGTCTCACACGTGCTAGTCGAGTGCTCCACCACTGACGCAGCCCCGACACAGTTCTTGAGCTGGGGCCCTGTGCCAGGAGGCAGGGGACACTCAGAGAAGAAGGGCGTGTGTAGGAAGCACTCAGGATGAAGAGGGTGTGGAGGAAGAACACCCAGTGGCCGTGCTGCGTAAAACAAGGGCTGGGATACGTGAAGGACGACAGGCGTCCCAAATGGAAAGAATGATTTTTTTACTTCGTATCATTTGATTCCAAAGGAACATTTAGTGACAGGCAAAGTAGGACCTGTGATATGACGGAAGCTTCTGGAATGCTGGTGGGAGCTCTGGCACAAGGTGATGAAACATTTCTGAAGCTGTGTGCAATTTTCCAGGAAATGGAGTGGCTGCAAGCGCCAGGCCCCGTGACTATGGAGAAAACGCAGGCAGGGAAGCTGGGCGGAGAAGACGCCCCGCGGCCTGGTGCGCACTGCAGAAGCACCGACAGCGTCTCGGCACTGTGTAAGGCGGCTCGAGAAGGGCGTTGTTTTTAATGATCCATTTTAACTTTACTGTCGTGAAACTTGTTCGGAAGTCCCCTTACACTTGTTTATGCACCACACATTAAGAAGTTAGGTATTTATTAAAGACACAGCTTTGTCTTTTTTCTGCCTGTATCTCCTCAATAAAAAAGTAACTCTGGAACTTGGAATCTTTACAAGTGAGCTTTCAGTGTTTTGATTCAGAAATCAGTTGCTTTCATTCTGAGCCATTCATAAAAATCTCACATGGTCACAATCACTGTGCCATTAAGTGCCATTTTCTTGTGAATCCCCAGGATCTTTAAGTACTCCTGGGACAAATGTGTCACATTGGTGGCTGGCACTTTGTTTGGCTCAGGTCCTTCTCAGAGGGGGACAAAGAGCTCTACAGCTGCTCTGTGAGAGCCGCGGCCCAGAGAGCGGCAGCAGGTGGCACAATTGCATTGGACTGGTGGCCCACAGAGGCCTCTGGGTGGAGGGGACATAGAGGTCTACTGATGCAGGACGCTGGGTCTGAACATGGAAGAAGAGAGTGCAGTGAACAGAGGCGGACAAGGAAGCTGCTGGCGTGCTGGGTCAGGTGGGAGATGGCCACAGGGGTCCAGCACAGAAGTGGGCATCCCACAGAAATAGAACTGGTGTGGATTAGGAGGACTGGATTGGGGCAGCCAGGGCCTTGTGTCCTCACTGTGTGTATGAGGGTCGCCAGTCACCAACATGTCCAGAGGCTGGATGTAGTGGGCACAGGGAGCATGCCTGGCTTGGGGCCTGGACCTAACAGCTGCTAAACCACTGCTCGCTCTCTGCACTCCTAAGGGCTTGAGGGTGTTCCAGCAAGTCACAGTTCTCATCCTGCCATCACAGCGCCACTCATCCTGCCATCACAGCGCCACTCATCCTGCCATCACAGCACCACTCAGTGATTGCTGTGACTGCAGGACTAGGGGGCTCATTCCCAGGGCCCAAGACTACTCAAGATGATGCAAGGTAAATGGTGCAAATTATTCTAGTATGTTCATGGTCACTACGTGGTGCAGTGCTGGGTACCTAACAGGCTGTCAGAAAATGCTTTCTCAACAAGTCGAACATGTACTTGGTTGTTCCTGTACAAACAATTGACAGTATGAGCAGGAAAAGTTTTAGTATATGATGAAGTTAATGATGATCAGTGAACTGAAGGAAGGACTGGACGGTAAGATGATATAGCTCCCATCCAAGGTGATTCCAGAACATTCTTAATGTTTTAGTTTTTGGAAGCATTATGCAGAATAAAGAAACAGGGTGGCAGATACTATCACAGGTAACAGTTTCAAACTCAGCTAAGTGTAAAGCCTTCAAATGCAGGATACTGTGCCAGCTCACCACCAGAGCAGGGACATCCCTAGCTCTCCTGCACCCTGGCTCAGACCCTCTGTGCACTTCAGCCTCAGCCTGGGACCCACTCAGTGCCCAATTCCAGTGTTCAGGCAGGAAAACATTTTACATGAGACACACTTGTCATATCAAACAATCCATGTCCCTGTTCAACATTAGCAATAGCACTCGAGACCTTGGCATCCTACAGATTTAATTGTCTTCCATAAAAAATATGGCGCTTCGTCTGGACACCCCAGTAAATGCTGTAGTATCACAAAGAGTTAAGTGAGGAAATGAAAATTAAACCACAACTAAACAACCCCAAGCCCTTTGCTCTAACATTTACCACACTGACTTGACTTCTAAGTTGTGGACATAACCTACAATGACGGTGTTAAAGCATCACTACTGCGTGCCGTGGTGGCCTCAGGGAACTAAGAGTCCTCTTGGAGTAAGGATCCTGTTAAATCACAGTTCTAGTATCCAGGCAGCAGTAATGTGAGACTTGCTGCATGGGGTGGGGGAGCTCCTAACTTAGCCACAGGACCCAGCACACTGAGGAGATCTGATTTCAAGTAATTCTAGCTAGTTATATTTCAGACAGCAGGCCACGGAGCTATGTTGATGGAGCACAGTAGTAATGGTAAAGACCCAATGTTTGTGACACTAGTGCTTAACGTGGCAGAAAAGAGCCAAACCCTGTGTGGAGAGGGTCTCCTGCAACCTTCTCTGCAGCTTTAGGGAGGGTGCTCGCTCATGACTCGACCTGTGACTTCAGAGCTTTGTTTACAAAGACCAATTTCAGTAATAACGACGTGACTAAGCTGGACACAAAGCATAACACCCCAAACCAGCATTTCAGATGGCTGAGTTGAAGACTTGAGGAGGCCTTCAGCACAGTTGTCTCATCTCCTTAGACAGCCTGTACGGCACTCGGAAGATACAAATGACACCATGGTCAGATGTGCAATGCCCTGTAACATGTTCCACCCGGTGGGCTGCTCCTATCGCTAATTCCCATCATCACTCTGCATCCGTAGGTAGACAGAGAAATCCGTTGTCACACATGTGTGTGAAATTACACCCAAGAATGTAGACACACACACACACACACAAATTCTAGGGGAACTTATTCCATAGGAAGAGGCCTTAGGAATATGGGGTAAAGACAATGATAGCAATTTGAATCTGAGATCTATAGGAAAACATAAACACATAATGATAAATATATAAGGAAATATAAAATACAGTCATTTCTTGTCTTAATGTTATAAAACTATTTTAAACAAAAAATATGATATTGCACCACGTGGCTTATAACATGAATATGCATCGAAGTAAATGTGGCAGTGATGGGTAAAGTGTGGGCAGTAGGGATCTTCACACTACAGACAGCATGGACAGCTGCACATGGACTGACGTGTGGTGAGAATCCTTTACCACACACCAAGAGGCTGTGCAGACTCTTGTTAAGAGGTTACTGCACACAGTAACCTCTAGAGCAGCCAAACACTAGCACTAGAAAGTGGAGCCAAAAAGCAAGTAGAGGTTAACCAACAGAATCTATAACAAGTAATTTCTTCCACAAGGCAGAACATAGGAATCACAAAAGAAAAAGAAATGAAATAAAAAGCAAAGAGCAAAATGGCAGATTTAACTTCCCTATATCAATAATTACATTAAACAGAACAATTAAACATTCTAATGAAAGGTCAGAGATTGCTCAGTAATACCAAATAAAAGAATGCTTACAACACACATTTTATACAAAATACAAGCAAATTAGAAATAAAAGGATAAAAGATTATTATGTGCATAGGATTCCTAAGTTAGCTAATATGGCTATATAAATATAAAACAAAGTAGGATTTAAGAAGAGTAATATGACCAAAATTGTTATTATAAATTAACAGAAGAGTCAAGAAGACGGAACAATCTTAAATACATACACACCTCCTATGGAGTTTCAGAATATAGAAAACAAAATCGGAAGCAGAGAGGGAAATAGGGACATACACAACCATCATCGGCAATTAGAACACCCATCACCAAGA